GCCGCTCTTCCGGCAGGTATCGACTACACGTAAGAATGACCCTTCGGCGGAGTGACTTTTGGTGCTTGCCCAAAGGGTGTCGGGTGATTTTTCTTTTGGAGTGAGCTTGACCTCGCGTCGGTACGCGCATGGCGTGATTACGCTCGCATTTGAGCGCGCCAGGCTTGGGCCCACCCCTTGCAATCGACCAAAACGCATACGCGTCGAACCCATCAGTTTGCATTGGTTAGCCGATGGGGAGCCGGTCGACTAGACGGCGCGCTTGCCGGCCCAGGAAAAGTTCCGAATCACAGCCCGAATCCCGAAACGTCGGGCGTTAATATTTTTTTGTTTTTTTTGGGATATCTTTGAATCTGTTAGAATATCTTTGAATCTGTTTGAACATGTTTTTGTTCGAACCAATGGGGATCTGTACAATTATAAGTTATCCCGAGATTTTCAAACACATTCCGGGCTCTCGGATGGGGCCGGTTTTGGCAATGGCACCCGGCCTGGTCCGACATCATCGCGATGCACCCCGGCAGTGCCAGACCTCATCGCGGTGGCCCCCGGCAGCGTCTGCTTTCGCAGGCCCTTCGAAATCCCATTCGGGGCGCTCGAATTCAATCGGCGGAATTCCGCGGTTGCCCGCTGGCGCAAAACATCTTTCGAGTGGCGCCCTGCCGATCGTTGATGCGGCGCGGCAGCGCCGGCTTGCGCGATTGCGTTGGGCCCCCACGGGCGCCCCGGGAACCGCGCACCAGAGGTCACTTTAGCCTGAGGTCATTCCTACGTGTAGTCGAAGGTATTACGCAGGCGCCTGCTGATGCCGGACAGCGTCTTGCCCAGAGCGACGCTGGAGTTCTGAAGAGACGTTTTGCAACAACAAAACATAACAACTTTTGCGTTCGAAATAGTGCTACCGGGGTTGAGCTTACATGTATTAGCATTGGTTCGTCAGAGCTCGCGCCGTCGGAAGTCTTTGCGAAGCCGCGTGACAGGTACAAGGGTACTTCAGACAAGTTGCAGCGGCACTCCATATTCCCGCGCCGTTGGAATATAGAGCAACAAACTGCAGTCCCGTCGGGTATGATTGTGTGTTGTGGACACCAGAGGCATGGTCGGTTCCAGCGGTTTCCCGAATCATCTCGCAGCGTTGCGTGCTATACTTCGAAGAAAAGTCCATCCTCTGATGTATTATTGAAACGGTGCCATCGGCTAGGATGTTGGGGAGTCCTCGGGGTGTTATCGCACGCAATTGGCGAGCCAAAAAAGCCTCCAGTGGGAAGGGGAGGGGAGGAGAGAATTGATCCGAAGGCCCAAGCAATGAACGAAGACGTTCCCCAGATACGGGCTCGGGGTAGGGGGTGAGATGCTCGCGCCGAGTGTTTTTTTCCTTTCCCACTCTCTCAGCCTTTCCTCCCGTCCGCATATCCTGGACCACCGTTCCCCCTTCCCTCTTTCCCTCGCTGACTTCCCTCGCCCTCGCTCTCTCTCTTTCTCTCTCCCTCTCTCGCACTCTCTCTCTCTCTCTCTCTCTCTCTCTCTCTATATATATATATATATATATATTTCGCTCTTTCTCTCCTTCTCTTTTTGTTGTTCTCTCTCTCTCTCTCGTGATCGATGTGTATATATATATATATATATATATATATATATATGTGTATGTCTATGTGTATGTATATGTGTGTATATATGTTTGTATGTAGTATGTATATATATATGTATATGCACATATCTCTCTATATAATATATACATAAACATATATATATATATGTATCTATATATATGTGTATGCACATATCTCTCTCTATATATATATATATATATGAGTAGGCCGGGGGGGGAAATCGGTGCCGTCATCCCCCATGGCCGCCCCCCCGAACCTTTGGGGGGGACTGCCCGGGGCGCTTCCCAATTGCCCACGACAGGCCACGCGGGCCGTACAGATGGTCAAAAAAACTTAAAGGGTCCCGAAGACGCCCAAGAGCGCCCCAAGAGGGCCCGTGAGGGCCCTAAGAGGGCTTTCAAGAGGCAAGCATCGGCCCATGTCCTTTCTGTAAAACGTGCATTTTCAGCATACTCGCTGGCTTCGTCTTCACAGTGCCCCAGACGCCCCCGCGGAGCCCCAACACAGCCCAAGAAAGACCCAAGAGGGCCCCAGACGGCCCATAAAGGGTCGTCCTGTGGGGCTCACGGACCCCCCCGAGACGGCCCAAGAGGCCCCAATGCCGGCCCAGGAGGCCCCCAAGACGGCCTCAGGAAGGCCCAAGAGGGCCTCGTTCGAAATCATGTTCCCGGACGCCTCTCCGGGAACATGACTTCCCGGTTCCGAGGACGCCCAAGGGGCCCACAAGACAGCCTCAGCGAGGCCCCAAAGGGCCCGAGATGGCTTGAAGATGGCCGAAGAGGGCCCCGAGAGGGCCTTCAAGAGGCAAACATCGGCCCAATCCCTTCGTAAAACGTACATTTTCAGCATGCTCGCTGGCTTCGTCTTCGCAGTGCCTCAGACGCCCCCGAGGAGCCCCAACACAGCCCAAGAGAGACCCAAGAGGGCCCCAGACGGCCCGAAAGGGTCGTCCTGTGGGGTCACGGAACGCCCCGAGACGGCTCAAGAGGCCCCAAAGCCAGCCCAGGAGGCCCCCAAGACGGCCTCAGGGAGGCCCAAGAGGGCCTCCTTCGAAATCATGTGCCCGGAAGCCTCTCCGGGAACATGACTTCGGGCTCCCAGGGCCCCCTACTGGGCCCCAGGACAGCCTCAGCAAGGCCCAAGAGTGCCCGAGATGGCTTGAAGATGACCGAAGGGGGCCCCAAGAGGGCCTTCAAGAGGCAAACATCGGCCATTTCCATGGTAAAACGTACGTTTTCAGCCTACTCGCTGGCTTCGTCTTCACAGTGCCCCAGACGCCCCCGCGGAGCCCCAAGAGGGCCTCGAGAGCGCCCCAAGAGAGCCCCAAGAGCGACCCCAGAGGGCTCGAGCAGCGCGACATTTCAAGGTCTCTGGCCTAAGAGGCTCCTGGGACGCCCCCGGAGGCCATCAAGAGGCTCCCAAGAAGCCCCATGAGGCTCCCAAGAGGCCCCCCGGAAGCCCCAATAGGCCCCCAAGGGGCCCCCAGGGAAGCCCCCTGCGGGCCTCCAAGACACTTCGGTAAATCGTGTTTCCCAGATAGCTTTCCGGGAACATGATTCCTTGGGCTTCCGCCCGCCGCCCCAACCATGTTTCCAATAGGCTTGCCGGCAAGGCCAAAAGGCGCCCCTCGGTAAGCCCCCAGAGGCCCCCCTCTTAGAGAGCCGAGCAAATCATGCTCCCAGAAAGCTTCCCGGGAACATGATTCTCTATCTCGGAGTAGGCCCAGCGGGGGGGGGCGGGCCGCTGCTTGTTCCCCCCATCGGTGCCCTCCAGGGGCTGCGGGGGGGGGTACAGAGCTCCCGAGGCGGCCCGAGCCCGCCCTGAAGCAGGCCACGAGGCCCCGAAGACGCCCAATATACCCTCAAGACAGCCGACGAGGACTCCAACACGCTCCAGGACGGACTCAAGAGGCTCCCCAAGAGGGCCCTGGGAGGCAAGATTCGCTCGTTTTCGGAGTGTCTTGGATTTTGGCGTTCTCGCTTTCCCCGCTTCCCAGCGCTCCCTCACGGCCTCGGAGGCCCTTCAGATCGCTCCAAGAAAGCCCACAAGGTTCCGACGAGGGCCCCAAGACGGCCCAGGATGCTCCCCAGACAACCCAAGTGTGCCCCAAGAGCGCGCCGAGAGGAGGCCCAGAGGGGTCCCGAGGCGGCCTGGGCCCGCCCCGAAGCAGGCCACGACAGGCTAATGGAGATCCCGAGAGGGCCCTAGACGGTCCCAAGAGGCCCCGAAAACGCCCAAGATGCCCTCAAGACGGCCGACGAGGACTCCAACACGCTCCAGGACGGACTCAAGAGGCTCCCCAAGAGGGCCCTGGGAGGCAAGATTCACTCATTTTCCTATGGTTTTTGAAGGATTTAGGTGTTCTCGCTTCCCCCGTTTCCCAGCGCTCCCTCACGGCCTCGCTCGGAGGCCCTTCAGATCGCTCCAAGACGGGCCACGAGGCGCGGAAGAGGGCCCCAAGACGGCCCAGGAGGCTCCCCAGACAACCCAACTGTGCCCCAAGAGCTCCCCAAGAGAGGGCCCAGAGGGGGACCGCCAACCGATATTTCGAGGTCTCTGTTCCTAGAGGCCGCCTGTAGGCACCCGAAGGCCGCCTGTAGGCTCCCACGAAGCCCCGTGAGGCGCCCAAGAGGCCCCCAGGAAGCTCCAAGAGACCCCCAAGGGGCTCCCAGGGAAAGGCCATGAGGCCCCCCAACACACCCCAAGAAATCATGTCCCCAGCAATCCTTCCGGGGACATGGCTCATCATGGGCCCGAGAGTTCCCAGAGGCCCCCAAGGGGCCCCCAGGGAACGCCCAAGAGACCCCCCAACACACCCCAACAAACCATGTCCCCAGAAAGCCTTCTGGGGACATGGTTCATCATGGGCCCGCGAGTCTCCGGAAGCTTCGAGGTACCATCATGCTACAGGAGAGCTGTCTGGGAAGTTGATTGGGAACATGACTGATAGCCTTCTCGCGGCCCTCCGCAGATCGTTTCGCACAAAGTTGCCCCAAGTGCCCTCTTGACGACGACGACGACGGCACGCCCCAACAGGCTCCCCAAGACGCCCCCAAACCCATGCTCCCAGAAGGCCTTCTGGGAACCCGATTCATACGGCCTCCGCCCCCCTACACAACCATTTTCCTTGAAGGCCTTTCGGAATGCAGATTGGCATGCGTGGACTGTGGTCCACTACTTCAGTGGAGCAATGAATTCGTCAAGGTCGGGGGCCTGCTAGAACCTGAGCGCGCGCGAAGCGCGCGCGATGGTTCTAGTGTGTGTGTGTCTAGTGTGTGTATATATGTATATATATATATATATATATATAGCTCTCTCTCTCACACTCTCTTCCTCTGTATGCTTCTGCTTACGCTTCTGTCCGTCATCCCGTCCGGCGCGCCCGAGGCCGAGGACTTCGCAGGATACTTCCGCGAGGCGCGGGCCCCAAACTGAGCCTCCCCCCGCGGCGGTTTCCCCGTGCGTGCCCCTCGGGGGAGGTGTCGCGGGCCGCAGTCGGAGTGGAACCCGACGTTGTCTAACGCGGTCCGACGTGCTTCTCGCCTTTTGCGCAATCGGCCAGCGCCTTCGTCCTCCTCGCTTCCTTCTCCTTCTCCCCTTCTCCTCCTCCTCCTCCTCCTCCGTCATCTTCGGCCTCCCTCCTCCCCGTCCTCGTTCGTCATTGTTGGCCTCTTTCCTCCTTGTCTACCCCTCCCTTCCAATATTCGTCTCTCCTTTCGCCCTCCTCACTCTTCTCCTCTTGCTCCTCGTTACTGTTCTCCCCCTCCCGCCCCCCTATTCCATCTTCTCCCCCATTCTCCGTCATGATGTTCTGCTCGTACTCGTCCTTCGGCCTCCTCCATCTCTTCGTGGTCCTTGGCCTCCTTTTTTGGTCTCCTCCTCCTCCTCCTCCTCCTCCTCCTCCTCCTCCTCCTCCCCCCCCGTCGTCCGTAGCCATTTTGGCTCAAGATGCCTAGTTCCGCAGGGGAACAAGTGGATACCGCTAGTCCGCGGCCAGTGCCAGGGCTTTCTAGCCCGACAGTTTTGTTCAACGCTCCTTGTGCCTCCTGCTGCCCGCAGGTGAGCACCATCTGTTCTTCAGTTCGTCCATGGCGCCTCAGCAGCAGCGCAACGGCTACGTCAAGTGCTACTCCTGCTCGTACGCCTGGAACTGGAAGAGCAAGCAGACGTGCTACTGGTGTGGCAAAGCCTTGGCGCCGTGGACGGATGCCCCTCCTCCAGTGCAAGGTGCTTGGGCGGCCCGCGTCTCAGCCGCAGCCCAGGCCGAGGCCAAGAGCACCCAGCCGTCCAGCGCCGAGGGAGGTTGGGAGCCGTGGTCATCCTGGCCCAAGTCCCGTCGCCGCCGGGGTAAGGGAAACAGCAAGGACCAAGACGACGACTGGTGGGCCAGCAAGAACGACACCCCCAAGGGTCGCTCCGCCGAAGACATCTTGGCGGAGCTCCAGGCAGTCGCCCCTCATATCGACAAGGCAGCCATCGACGGCATCAAGTCGCAGATCCCGCCGCCCCAACCGCAGAAGCCAGCCGACCTCAACGACATCTACAGTCGCGCCCAGGCTACGGAGCGCCGCTGCAAGAATAACCTGGAGAGGCTGCTGGAGAGCGAGCAGAAGGCGCTCAACTGGTACACAGAGCGCAAGCAGACGTCGGAGGAGGCCGCCTACAAGTTGGCTGAAGCCCAGGCGGAGGCCCAAGCGGCGCTCGACGCACTCCAAGCCGCCCGCAAAGGCGGCACAGCCACTCCCATGCCGTCGCAGCAGACCCCGACCTTCAACCTCACCAGCCTCCTGGAGGACGGCGACATCTCCATCGAAGCGGGGGCGGCGTTCGACCTCCAAGGCCTCGACATCGACGACGACGACCTCCAGGCCTGGGAATCCCTGCAACAGCGCTTTGCCACGGAGCTCAAGGCCAAGGTCACCGAGCTCTTCGGCAACACCGCCAGCCGCATCAGCCCGCTCCGAGCAGAGGCCAGCACCATGCGCACGCGCTTCGCCTCCAAGCGGCAGCGCGCCGACGAGGATGGGCACGCCAGAGAGGGAGGTGGATCACCGCCTGCCGCCGCGGCCGCAGCAGGCGAACCCCCAGTGGCAGCCGCAGCGGATGCTGAAGGCACGGCGCCCTCTCCGCCAGCGGCGCCAAGCGACGAGCCTCCTGCACCTGCTGCTGGCGCTGCTTCTGACGGCGGCTACGTCGCACAGCCTGTACCTGCACTCAACAAGGACCCCGACCTCGAAGACAAGGCACAGAAGATGCTCAGCCAGATGCGCAAGCCCACCGCGGCCGCCGCTGCTGGGCCGCAGCAGCCTCTTTAGCCGACTACAACCCGACCCTGGACGGAATGGTGAGACGGGGCGCCTACCGTCAGAGACCACGCGCTACGACAACCCATCCATCATCAACACAATGGACGCAGTCCTCGACCCGTTCGACGAGCTGGCCGAGTTGGACGCCCACTTCGATTACACCGAATCCGAGCAGTACGCTACCGCCCCGCCCGAGACGCTGTCCTCGGTAGGGGGCGATGAGACGGCGCAGACCGTCGACTACCCCGTGGGGCGGGGCCCAGGACAGCCGCAGCGCGCTGCTCGGTCTGCCCCAGATTCCGCTCCGCCCGAGACGCGGTCCTCGGTGGGGAGCGATGAGGCGGCGCAAGCTGTCGACGTTCATGTGGTACTGGAATCAGGGGAGCCTCCGCCAGAGGCAAACCCTGATGCCGCTCCGCCCAAGACGCAGTCCTTGGTAGGGGGCGATGAGATGGCGAAAGCTGTCGACAGTCCTGCAGTGAAGGGGCCATGGAAGCCCAGCAGTCCGAGACCCGACCCTACACCTGCCAACCAAGAGAAAGGCCCTACGAAGCTCCCGCAGTCAGACCACTCCCTGTTTTTCTCCAACATCACACAATGGGGACCACAGTCTGAGAAATGGTTGGCAGGCCCAGGCAAGCAATATCAGATGGTGGCCCTAGTCGAAACACACATCTCGCTTGAAAAAGCGCCGCTCATCTACGACAAGCTAGCAGCGGATGGTTGGAGAATATCATCGACTACGGCCACCCCTACCAGAAGATCAGACGGCGGCAACACGGGTGGCGAGATCATCCTATCCAGGTACCATGTCCAGGCCACCACGTTCAACCATCTACGAGATCTCGCCATCTCTCAGCGCAGGCCTGACCCTTTCCTCGGCTTCACGCCCATGGTATGGCACAGACGCTCTGGCAATCTGGTTGTTATTGCTGCGTATCTGGAACCCCGCAGGCAGATCGAGGGTGCAGTGCACGACAAGCTGCTCTCGCTGGGAGCCTTCGTTACTATGCTGACAGACCCTTGGGTCATCTTGGCCGATTGGAATATGACACCCGAGCAGCTTGCAGCGACAGAGTGGCTGGCCAAATGGAATGCTACCATCGTGCGAGCACCTGGATCTGCCACCTGCGACAAGGGCCAGGGGCTCACGCTTGATTTCGCACTGGTCAAGACTGGCATCGAGCACACTATTTCCATCCGCCAGTGCCCCACCGTACCGTGGGCCGCCCACGTTGGCCTCGAAGTTCGAGCAGGCAGTGCAGACCCCTGGTGGTATCAGTCGATCGACACCCCCAAGGCCTTCCCCACAGTGGACAGGCCCAGGTTACCGCCAGGCCCCAACAGCAAGACCGCCATCAAGAAACGGAAAACAGCTGAAGCTCGAGCAGCTCGTCTACGTGATCTACCCCCTGAACTTCAACAAGCAGCAGCGCAGCTTCAGCCACAAGACGAGCCCGCAGAGCTGGACCCTATCTCCTACGCCATCCCGGTGGACTTGTGGGAAAAACAATGGCAGGAGGCGTTGCCCACACGTTGCAAGCAGCCGCACGCGCACTTCATGTATCGACACTGGGAGCTCGGCGCCGACCTCCTCAACCTCAAGTACGCCAAATGGGTCGCGGCGCTCGAGAACACTATGATCAGCCACCACCAGATCGACCCGAAGGAAGCCGCAGCATACACTGGCCGAGCTCAGGGTTACCAGCTATATTGGAAGAAGACAGCGGCTGCTCCAGGCCGTGTACACGTACATGGCCCACATTCGGAATGGTGGGCCATTGCGCTCACCCTCATCAAGCGCTACGCCGCGCTCTACGACAAGCCTAAGCATACAGCGCTTATGCAGCAGCAGGCCACCATCATCCAGCAGCGCGCGGACCACTTCAACAGCCACATGCACGACCTACAGTTCGAGAAGGACGAGGACACCATCTTCCGCTGGTTCGCGCTCGTCTGGGCCCCGCACCTGGACAAGGATGACACCGACGACTTGGTCACTATAACCGCTACCTGGGCCTCCAGAGCCCTCTCGGCCGCCCTCGCCAAGTCCAAGAGGGCCTACGGGGCATGGCTCGCCCAGCAATGGAAGCGCCGCCCTGGAGTACCACACGCCCATGTTAAGCCAGCACCTGTACGTCACATCGAGGCCTACACGGCCAACCTGACCATCGCCGACCCCACCGTCATCATGGACAACAAGAAGCAACAATGGCAGCAATTATGGCATGCCACCGAGACCTCCGACGACATCCTCCAGGCCCTGACAAAGGCCAAGGCAGCAGCTGTTCATCATCCTCTCGAGCCCATTACAACCGAGAACGTACACCGCATTCACGGCCGCATGCCGCCCAATAAAGCGCATGGAGTTGATGCCCTAGGACCTCGCGACCTCCATCGATTACCAGAACCTGCCGTCGAAGCCTATGCAGATATTCTCAATTCAGTGGAGCAAGCTGGCATTTGGCCACTACAAATTTCAGGCACCATTGCAGCTCTCGCCGCCAAGAAGACTGGAGGCGACAGAGTCCTTGGCATGCTTCCTCATATGGCCCGACTCTGGTCTCGTATTAGATCCACCGCGTCGGAAGCCTGGACGCAAGGACTTGACGATTTTTGGACTACAGCCATCAAAGGCTCTTCAGCTCTCCAAGCCGCCCGGCATAGGGCCTTGTTAGACGAGACAGCCTCAGCACTCGGCATTCAGTCGGCGACCTTGCTGTTAGACATCCAGAAATTCTACGACAATATCAAGCTCGCCAACCTCATCATGGTCGGCCTCAACTGTGGCTTCCCTGCCATCATTCTTTTATTGGAGGTGCAGCTCTACCTGGCGCCCAGATTCTTGCGCAGCCGTCAATGGGTGAGCATGCCTATCTTCGCCTCCAAGGGCATCATTGCAGGCTCCCCCCACGGCACCACCCTGGCACGACTTATTTTGTTACCAATTCTTCGACATGCTCAAGCTCAGGCAGAGCTTGCCCAGATGTGGACCTTCGTGGACGACACTGTACTACGAGTCGAAGGAGTCCTGCGAGCTTTGCAGAAGCACCTCCCCCGTGCCGCCAGGACGCTATGCAACGGATTAAAGGTGTTCGAGTTGCCTATCTC